CTATAAAACTGTTTTAAAATAACAGGTCTGGAAGGGGGTGTTTTCCCCAAGCATTTTGGCTGTTGCCTCAAAGGAATTGGGGTCGAGGGGTGGTTCGAAGAAACTGGGCCTTTCTACTCTGTATACTCCCATGTGAAACTTCTTTTTACAACAAACATACACTTGTGTCCTTTGTCATTGTTTTTAAAATTTTATATTTCATAATAAAGAGACATGAACAATATGAATCCAAACAGAGTCATGTGTCACATTTCCTGTAATCTGTCCCAGCCTCCTTTTTTGTGGGGGTCAACTCCACCTTAGCTGTCAAGGTCAGAAGCAGCTCTGGAAGTGGCTGCTCCTCCCTCGCCCAAAGCTTTGTTTGATCTCGCAATGCCTTGTTTTCATCCAGCAATACTGTGCTCTCGGCCTCTCCCTGGGACACGATACAGTGGTTCATGGTTGTGAAAGAATTAGAGGAGCCCGGCCGGTGTGGTTCAGTGGTTGGGCATTGGCCTATGAACCAGGAGGTTATGGTTCCATTCCCAGTCAGGGCACATGGGGCGTGCAAGAGATAGCTGATCCATGATTCTCTCATAATGGATGCTTCTCTCTCCCCCTCTGAAATCAATTAAAAAAAAAATATATATATATATATATATGTATATATATATATATATATATATATATATGTATATATATAAAAGAATTAGAGGAGGAAAATGGTTTTAGTATTATATATGATGATGATCTCTGAATGCATAATAATCTGGCCACTCAGTATATATCCTATATAATAAAAGGCTAATTGTCCCCTCAACCAGGAGTTCGACCAGCTGGCAGGCTGGCCAACCACCCATGTCCCCTCCCCCTGGCCAAACCCCACCCATGCACCAGGCCTCTAATACACACATGCACACACTAAGTGGCCAGATTATTACGCGTTCAGAGATCAATAATCTAGCCACTCATTGTAGTTGGAGAGAGATGGCAGTTCTTTGGATTTTAGCCTGCGCTTTGCTAGGAAGCTCAGAGGACCTCAGGAAGAACTCAGGACTTCTTAAACTCAGTGTAAAACACAAAATCTGGGAAATAAGCATGTGTCAGTAACAGAAACTTTGGGAAAAATAACTGCCAATTCGGAAAGCGTTATTAACCTCATAAAGTCCTGGTAGGCATCTGCAGACAGTTTCAGTTAAATTGCCAAGGCCAGGAAGGATTATGTTTGAGAGTTTGGGGACATTATGAAATGATTTTACCCCAATGATTTTAAAGGTTCGTTTTTATTAAAGTATTAATCATTTGTATGACTTTCAGCATGAATATCCCAGGCGACAGAGGGCTAGATCTCTTAGCTGGGTGCGCGTACTGCGAATTGGATGCTGTGAGCGGAGGCTGCGTTGGAGGAGAGGTGTCATCTTCCGGGGTTTTCCTGATGGCTCTGCCCACTGGATTATAAGCGCGGAGTGCGGAAGTTCTCAGCAGGCAGTCCCCCCTTTTCTCCTGCCAGGTTAATTAGAAACCTACCTGCTCTGAACTGTGTTCAATAGCCTTTTATTGAAATCTAATACTCAACTTACAAAATACATTCTGTAAGACAAATCTAAAAATATTAATTTCTGCTCATAGTGTAGCGAAGGGGAAAATCCTTCCAAGTTTTAATAAAAATCTTGATACAAGGTTATGATTCATTTCAGAAGTGTAAGAACAGCTTTTTATTACTGCATGGGAGTTTTGGCCCCCCCGTGATGGCCACCTCCTGGTATTCCCACTCCTGTATTGTCCTCTCACGGGGTACCAGGTGGCCAATAGAGCCCAGGGGAGGCGGTGGTACTTCACCCCCCAGGTTAAGTACGTGGGCGCAGCCCTGTGGCCCTCCGGGCACGGAACTGAAGCCTCCTGCAAACTGTGACTCTGGAAGTAGGGTTCTCTAGCCACAGGCAAGTCTCCAGACACCGCAGTCCCAGTGGATAGCTAAGACACCCTGAGCTAGTGCAAGCACCCAGCTAAGCCAGAAACTGAGAGAGAATATTTAATTTAAAAAAAATTTATTGATTTTTCACAGAGAGGAAGGGAGAGGGAGAGAGAGTTAGAAACATCAATGAGCCGAAACCGGTTTGGCTCAATGGGTAGAGCGTCGGCTTGGGGACTGAAAGGTCCCGGGTTTGATTCCGGTCAAGGGCATGTACTTTGGTTGCGGGCATATCCCCAGTAGGGGGTGTGCAAGCGGCAGCTCATCGGTGACTCTCTCTCATCCATGTTTCTAACTCTCTATCTCTCTCCCTTCCTCTCTGTACAAAATCAATAAAAATATATTTAAAAAAAAAAAGAAAAGAAAAAAAGAAACATCAATGAGAGAGAAGCATCCATCAGCTGCCTCTTGCTTACCCCCTCCTGGGGATGTGCCCGCAACCAAGGTACATGCCCTTGACCGGAATCGAACCCGAGACCCTTCAGTCCACAGGCCGATGCTCTATCCACCGAGCCAAGCCAGTCAGGGCTTTTTGTTGATTTCAGAGAGGAAGGGAGAGGGAGAGGGAGAGAGAGAAACATCAATGATGGCAGAGAACCATGGTTTGGCTGCCTCCTACACACCTCATACCAGGGATCAAGCCTGTGACCCAGGCCTGTGCCCTGACTGGGAATCGAACCGTGACCTCATGGTTCATAGGTTGACGCTCAACCCCTGAGCCACCGCTGGCTGGGCTTTTAATTTTAAATGTTTGTTTAAAGCTAAGTTTGGGGATGAGTTGTTACATAGCAACAGATAACACACTAGTTTTCCAGAGTCTGGCCCGCCCACCATGGGGAATGTGAAATACAGAACTACCAGGAGGATTCTGCTTAGATGCCTCAGTGGATAGAGCGTCGGCCTGTGGACTGAGGGTTCCTAGGTTCGATTCAGCTCAAGGGTATGTACCTTGGTTGTGGGCACATCCCCAGTGGGAGTATTTTCCAGAGTTCCACTAATGTGCCTGTCTTGTCCGAAACCTGACAATTTCAGAAACTTAAAGATGTGTGTTTTTTTGTTTTGTGGTTTTTTAAAATATTTTTTTTATTGATTTTGTACAGAGAGGAAGGGAGAGAGATAGTTAGAAACATCGATGAGAGAGAGTCATCGATCAGCTGCCTCTTGCACACCCCCTACTGGGGATGTGCCCACAACTAAGGTACATGCCCTTGACCAGAATCGAACCCGGGACCTTTCAGTCCACAGGCCGATGCTCTATCCACTGAGCCAAACCGGTTTCAGCTAAAGATGTGTTTTTTAATGGATTTGCATTGATTGGTTTTAGAGAGAAAGAAACATCAACTTGCTGTTCCACTTATCATTGGTTGATGCTTTTATAAAATTTTTTATTGGTTCCAGAGAGGCAGGGAGAGGGGGAGAGAGGAAGAAACATCCATGATGAGAGAGAATCATTTATCGGCTGCTGCCTGCACTCCCCCTACTGAGGATGGAGTCCGAAACCTGGGCATGTGTCCTGACTGAGGAATGAACTGTGACCTCCTGGTTCATAGGCCGATGCTCAGCCCCTGAGTCACGGCGCCGGGCCACTGGTTGATTCTTGTATGTGCCCTGACTAGGGATGGAACCGGAAACCCTGGTACATGGAGTTAACACTAACCAACTGAGCTGCCAGGCCCAGGCTCAGAGAGCTGTTTCCAGTTGCTCTGCATTTGAAATATTGAATAGAAGCAGGGTTTCAGCAGTCTTAAACACACACATTGGGGTTCCCCAGTAGACCACTCTGGAACTCCCTGCATCCGGCACAGACAGGGAGAGATTTGGGGTCAAATCCTAAAGGGTAGCTTGTGCTGTGGCCTCACCCCCACAGCCGCCCACTCTCTCCCCCTTCTCCCCTGCTCCCTGGTTTAGAAATCTGTAACACCCATGAGGTCCCAGGGGTATAATCTGGGCTAATACTGTTGGCCACAGACCCTCACCGCCAGAATAGCTAGTGTTCAACACAGGGTGATAGGGTAACCCAGTGGTCGGCAAACTCATTAGTCAACAGAGCGGCAAACCGAGGCTCGCAAGCTGCATGTGGCTTGAGAGCCGCAGTTTGCCGACCACTAGGTTAACCAACTGCATTCCCCCATTTTTAGGTATGAGGGGAAGAGGAAAGGATTATGGTTTTGTCACTTTTATTTTCTAATTTAGGTACCTATACTCCAGCGTTGATAACAATTGACCTGAGTTGTTTATCCTGTTTCCATGGAAGATTCTAGAATTTCTGTCACCAAGAGATTCTAGAGTCTTTTAGTAAGTACTCCTTAAAAGTCTAAACTGGGTTTCACTGAGTTCATATAAACTCACTTCCAAGTATTTCCATCAGTAGAAATAGCCCCACACTTTTTTGGTCTTAAGAGATTTGTGGCTCTACCAAGGTTTTAAAAAGCCATGTGTGCTAAGCATCCTTATTTGGCCCCTGGACACCCCAAGCAAATAACAAAAACATATTCCCAAGAGAGCTTTAAGAAAATAAAAGAAGCAATGAGTTAACCCTGGCTGGTGTGGCTCAGTGGATAGAGCCGCGGCCTGTGGACTGAGGGTTTGATTCCCGGTCAGGACACAGGCCCGGGTTGCAGGCTCCATTCCCAGTATGGGGCGTGCAGGAGGCAGCTGGTCCATGATTCTCTCTCATCAGCGATGTTTCTCTCTCTCCCTCTCCTTTCCTCTCTGACATCAATAAACATCTTTTTTAAAAAGAGAGAAAGCGGCAATGACTTAGGCACATAGTTAGACATGCCTTTCAGTCAGTCTTCCTTCCGCATACAAACTGACCTTCGAGTTGCGGGTCCCAGGAGAACAGCCAGCCCGCCCCTCACCTTCTACAAACACTGTGTCCACATCAGGGAAGAGGCGAGCTCGGTGTCAGGCCTGTGCCAGTTCATTCCCAAACTGCGGGTTCCGGTGAGATCTGCACGGTGTGAGCCAAACCGAGCCTTCCTTCATCTTCGGGAGGAGGAAGAGTTCAGCTGCCAAGATCCGATGACTCTCATTCCGGGGGCCCTAGTCACAGGTGCCATGAGTGCAGCCCTGGGGGTGCTGGTGGCGGCCTCGGTGCGGTGCCGGCGTCAGCAGCGGGGGTGAGCAGGCGGCTGCCCTGCACGCTCTGCGCCATCACGTTGGCGCCATGACACGCCGTGAGCTGACACGCCATGAGCAGGCGGGTGCGAGGCCGCAAGTAGAAGACGGGCGCCGCGGTCTGCGGCCGTGGATGACCTCCGGTGTCGCCCTCACGTCCCGAAAGGCGGCCAGCGGCAGGCCAGTTGGCCAGGGGACCCCAGAAGTGTGTGCTGCTCACATAGTCGCGAACTCCTTGGTCTTCACGTGCTCCAACGCCTTGCGCCGCCATTGCCGCCGCGGGGGGAGGGGTGTCACGGAGCAGTGGGAGCGCCCACAGACGCCCAGCCCGCTCACAAAGACGTGGCCATGGAGACCGCTGCCATGGCCTCGCGCCTCGGCCGGGCTGCCGTAAAGTGCAACACACAGCAAAGCCGTTGTGGTGTGTGCGCCTTTGGGGCGGGTCATAGCCTCGCTTTCCCGCCTTCAGCGACTGCCGTAAAGCGAGGCAGACAGCACGTGCGGCTGTACGGGCGTCAGTGCCGGGCGGGAGCGCAGCTTCCCCTTCTGCCTGAGAGCGGCTGCCGTAAAGCACGTCCGGTGCTGTGCTGTGTGCGCTGTGGCAACCCGAGCAGGCCCTCGTGGAGCCCGCCTTCACGTGACCACCTGAGTGTGCAGAATGCGCATGTCTGCGTGTGCGCGTCTGCGTGTGCCCCGCTGGCAAAGGGGGAAGCAGAGCGCCGTCGCTGGCACCACCGTGGTGTGGCCGCCATAAAACTCTCCGGGCTGCACTCAGCCCCGGGAAGGCGACCATTGCGCGGCCCGTGTCCCCTCAGCTGTGCAGATGGCACCTGGGCTCTGTCAGCGTGTGGACAGCGTCGATGGCAGCTGACACGAAATCCCTCACCCAGGTAAACGCTGCAGTCCTTCCAGTCTGCCGCAGTGTTACTTGCAGCCAGTTACAGGTCACCCCGAAATATTCCAGATCTGGCTCCTAACAAGGACATTCTCCTAATTTAGTAACTTACTCGCAATACAGTAATCCCGTCAGATACTTAACGTTTAGTAGAGTACTTTCTCCACTGTGCAGCGCACATTTAACTTTCAATTTTATGGCTGTGTTTAAAGTTTATTTATTTGTAATGTTTTTATTGATTTCAGAGAGGAAGGGAGAGAGAGAGAATCATGGATGGGCTGTCTCCTGTTTGCCCCCTACTGGAGATGGAGCCCGCAACCAGGCACATGTCCTTGACTGGAATGGAACTGTGTCAATCAAGATTCACATTTAGTTATTAGATTAATCTTTTAGATTCACCTCCTTAATCTAGAATCGTTCTACAGTGTTCTTTGTCTTCAGTAACACTGGCATTTTATTTTATTGGTTTGAGAGACAGACAGACAGACAGACAAGCATCAGTTTGTTGTTCCACTTATTTGTGTGTTCATTGGTTGATTCTTGTATGAGCCCTGACGGAAGATCAAACCCACAACCTTGGCGTGTCAGGATGGCATTCTAACAACGTGAGCTATCCGGCCAGGGCCTGTTGATGAAAATTCTTAATGACAAAACTGATGATTTTCCCAGTGTTTTCTACCGTTTCCAATAAAAATAATACTTGTTGAAAAATAATAAGTATACATTAAAATTCTAATACTTTAAGTAGTGGTTTACAAATAAGCCCATTGTACCTTTAAAAGTTATTACATTCTGTTCATTTATGTCCCAGACATTTCACATAAATATGTAGTATAGCCATTGCTCGAAAGGAAAGCAGCGTAATTTTTAGATAACCCTCTAAAAGGCGAAGCTTCCAAACATGGATGGCTGGTATAAATCAGGTTATTAGTTTGAATTCATAAATTAGCAACATGAATTGATTGACATTTTAGGCCTACAATGCCACATGCTCCAGTGTCCTAAAAGATCAGCTAACTTGCTTTCAGGTACCTATTGCTGCATAAAAAAATCACTCTAAAACTTAATGGCTTGGAACAACAGCCCTTACAAATGTGCAGTTTGGGCTGGACTCCTGGTTCCTAGGTACATGCTCCAGGGACTGCCAGCTCCAGGGACTCCCCAGTGGGAGCAGCCGATCCATGATTCTCTCTCATCATTGATGTTTCTATCTCTCTTGCCCAGCTAGTGTGGTTCAATGGTTGAGCATCAATCTATGAACAAGGGTTAGGGTTAGGATGAGGGCTGGAGGTCACAGTTCGATTCCCAGTCAGGACACATGCCTGGGTTGCAAGCTCAATCCCCAGTTGGGGGTATGCATCTCTCCCTCTCCCTCTCTGAAATCAATAAAAATATATATAATGTATATTAAAAATTCTATACATATAAAAGCCTAATAGGCAAATTGTTCTACTGGGAGTATGACTGCTTGCTATGACATGTGTTGCCCACCAGGGGGCAGCGTGGGATGTTGGTGAGCAGCACTGGCAGTGGGCAGCAGTGGAGGAGCTGCTGGCTCCAATGGGCCCCAACAAGAACGGAACCACAGTGGGATGGTGCAGCAGGTGAGTGGGCGGTGCCAGGCCAAGGTGGGTGCAAGCAGGGGCCCTATTGTCCTGCCAATCGCCCTGCAGATGGCAATAAGCAGCGACAGTGGGGGTCGGGGCCACTGCCCCAATTGATCACCCCAGACAGTGATCGGCAGGGTTGTCGGGGGTGGGGGGGAGGGCAGCCCCAATTGATCGCCCCATAGGCGGGATGGTGGAGCAATTGAGGGGGCACTGCCATGCCACGGTGGGGTACCAGTTGGGGCTGCAGGACTGGAGGCATGAGCTGGGACCCAATCCCCGCAGGCCACACCAAGGGATCCCACCCATGCACGAATTCGTGTACCAGGCCTCTATTAATAAATAAAATAAGTAATTTGTGGGAAGATACTTTGAGATTCTGTAAATGCTCATTTCCTCATTTAATATTTAACCTAGTACATTTAGCATCCATTTATGATTCTTGCCTGTACCTTGTGTTAATCTAATAGTAACAATTTATGTATTTGGTTTTTACTCTATTATTAATATTTTTTCATCCTCACCCGAGGATATTTTTTTATTGGTTTTTAGAGAGAATGGAATGGAGGGAGGGAGAAGAGAGAAAAGTTGATGTGAGAGACAGACTGGGCCTTGACAGGGGCCAGGCATCAAGAGTGCAACTCAGGTTCATGCCTTTGACTGGGAATGGAACCCTCGATCCTTCAGTCTCCAGGCTGACACTCTAAGCACTGAGAAACAACAGCCAGGGCATTATTTTTTAATTTATTTTTCAATTATGTTACATTCAATATATTATATTAATTTCAGGTATACAGCATAATAGTCAGACAATCTTATACTTTACAAAGTGTTCCCTCCAATATTTCAGTAACCCCCTGGCAGTGTACGTAGTTATTACAATATTATTGACTATATTCCCTAGCCAACATTTTACTTTTTAAATTATTTTCTGTCTTGTGGTGTGAAAGTCAGACATGTACTTTATTAAAGTTGCCCTGGTATGCCGGCCAACATTTACAAAGCATAAGACGTCCTGAATTATGGCTGTGAAAACCGAACATTTAGGATTTAGGTATTTTATGAATTTTTTTGCCACATCCTATGCTGATTTCCTCGGAATATTTGCTCTTAAATTCTACCAAAGGGAATAAATAGCATAGTGTCTCAGGAGAAGCTGGATGAATAAAACAATAGGCGGATATATTGACTCTGCTATTTTCAGTTACCGCTGAAAGTAATTTTAGAGCCATCTGTGGCTCTGATTCTAATCTCCTGCCTTCTTACACTGTTTCTCCCCTCATGTGAATAGAATGGCCGAAGGCTGGATAGTTATCCAGTTTCTTCCAGTAGCTACCAGAATGTCAGTGAAATGTGTGGTACCTCATTTTCTCTAGCAATCAGGTGGCGGGAAGGGATCGGTTGGGTCCATTCCCCAGTGACCTGTTGCTCCCTCCCAATCTTTTGTTTCTGACTCGCTTTATTGCAATACATATTTTGTTGCAGTGCTCTGGAACTAACTCACAATATTTCCAAGGTATATACACACACACATATACACATTGCTATTTATTTTTTAAAAAGTTTTTATTGATTTCAGAGAGAGGAAGGGAGAAAGACATAGAAACATCAATTGGCCATCTCCTACACGCCCCACACTGCGGATTGAGTCCACACCCTGGGTATGTGCCCTAACTGGGAATTGAACTGTGACCACCTTTACATGGGATGACACTCAACCACTGAGCCACACCGCCCAGGGCACATTACTATTTATTTTATCTGAACCATTTGAGAGTAGGTTGCAGACATTTTTCTACTTTACTCCTTAATACTTCAGTGCATATTTTCCTAAAACAGAGATATTCTCTGATGTAACGATAGTACAGTCATCAGAGATTACCATTGTATAGAAAACTTTATGTAATTACTAGAGGCCCAGTGCACGAAATTGTGCATAGGTAGGGGCCCTAGGCCTGGCTGGCGATCAGGGCCGATCGGGCCTTCTGGCTGCTGGCCTTCCTTTGTTCCATGCCAAGCCTGGTGGTCCGTGCACGTCATTCGAGTGATCAAACTCCAGGTCTCCTGGTAGAACTCCCAAGGGGACACTTTGCATATTACCCTTTTACATATATAGATTATATATATAGATACTCCATGTTTTAGTTTGGTCCATTGTCTCAATAATGTCCTTTATAGCATTTTCCCCTACAGTACAGGTTCCAGTCCAGTATGATTTCAGAGTATGATTCTCAGCTTTCCTTTGTTTTTCATGACTGACATTTTGTAAAGAGTATTGGAGCTTCCATGATGTTTCCTCATAGATTCAGTTTTAGCTTCTCACCCAAAATACTAGTACTTGGATGGTTTCTTTCTCTCTTTAAAATTTAGATCTCGCCCTGGCCAGGTAGGTCAGTTGGTTAGAGCATCCTCCCAATACACCAAGGTGTGGGTTCGGTCCCTGGACAGGGGACATATAAGAAGCAACCAAAGAATACATCAATAAGTGGGACAACAGATCAGTCTCCCCCCCACCTCTACCTCTTTCTCTCAAATCAATAAATAAAATTAAAAAAAATTTAAATCTCTCATCTATTTAGAGATTATTCTTGTGTTTGCTGGAAGATGTGGATCTAATTTTATCTTTTTCAAAATGGGTGTCCTACTGCTCCCAAGTTATATCTCTGGACTTTCCACTCTCTTCCATTGGCATGACTGCTTTCTAATCTGCCAGATGATACTGCTTTATATCACAGAGGCTTTTTATACCTGGCAGGGCTAGTTCACCTCTGTAACTTCCCTTTTTCTGTGTTTTCTTAGTTTTCAATTTTGCACATATAAACTTTAGCTCCATAAAAACATGTTTGTTTTCACTGGGATCCCATTAAATTTGTTCATTACCTAGGGATTACTGACATTCTTATGCTGTGGGTTGAATTTTGTCCACCAAAAAGCTATGTTGAAGCTCTTACTCCTGATACCACAGAATGTGAGCTTATTTGGGAATAGGGCTGTTGTAGATGTAATTATGTAGTTAGGATGAGGTCATGCTAGAATAGGGCGGGCCCTTACTCCAATATGACTATTCTTACAAGAAAGAATTCTACCTCAAGACTGTAACAGAAATACTGCCTGAGTTCCAGCTTGCTGGCCTGCCCCATGAACCAATTCCTTAAAATAAATGTGTGTGTGTGTGTGTGTGTGTGTGTGTGTGTGTGTGTGTGTGTATGTATGTATATATATATATATATATATATATATATATATATACATACATACATACATATATCATATATTCTCTGGAACACATTG